TATGTATGTATGTATGTATGTATGTATGTATGTATGTATGTATGTATACGTGGGTCATGTGTCCAACACTTTCGGCTGAATATCAGGATGTTTGGAACGCTAGATTTGAGTCTTGGACTTGATCAGAGTCTCTTGAAGTCCCTTTTCCTGCCACACCGTCAAATGCACCACTTCCCTGAAAAAGCAGAACCATGAGCTTTTCAACTACCCTGAAACAAGAGTAACTACAACACCCTTGAATCATCCCAGAGTTCCAAGACCAATAAGCTTCATCAATTCCTGCCTGGCATCCCAGTTGATTCCACTTCGACAGACCAGTGTCGTGCGAACACGAAGGGATCTCACTGGAGCGGCAGTGCATCCCCTTCGTCGGACTTCTCTGGTCGGGGCGGTCTCAGTCTGGTCAGGTCCATAGTGAAAACCACCTGAGGCCGTCCAGAGAGTGCACGGAGTGCACCATTTAGGACACAGAAATAAGATCAAATATATAAGTCTATACACATTGCGCCCACATGCGACACATGAAGATGTGCAGAAACAAATGCACATAGAGTGACTAGAGTAGTACACGTGTGTCTGTGTGAGTGTGTCACTCGCTGCTTCCAAGGGAAAACATCACAGTCTCTGCTACTTGTTTTAGTTCTACCTTTTCCACCTGTACAGGTTTCTCCATCATTGCAGGGGCCAACGAAGAGCCTGGTGGCGGGGTGCTCCTTGGTCCTTTGCACCGGTTTGCACTAAAGGGCCAGCACGTGGTCAAGTGCTAATGCATCGGTGGGCCAGCCACTGACGTTTGCTCTTGCGAGCCCTCTATCTAAGTGTGGGTGCTTCTTTTTATAAATGTGTGCTTCTTCTTTGCAAACCTCCACGGCTCCGCGCCCCACATGCACCCTACCTCCCCACCCCCTGACACAGCCACACCCAGCTCCGGGCGCCCCTGCCGAGGTGTCCTGACGCTTCGAGACACCCAGCAGTCCCTGCGGAACCCGCCAGGCTCGGACAGCTCGGAGCGCCGTCCGGTTGGGTGCTGCTTGGAGTGTCCCAAGTACTGTGGTTGCCACATGTGTGAGCTTGATCTACTTGCGAAAAGTCGAAAAGTGATCGGTCCCTTGTCTTGGGCGCGAAGAGTCCAAAAGTAAACCTTGATCACTTAGCCTCACATTGATCCGCATCTGTCTCCATTGTGCATGATCAATTCAATGTTCCCTCCAAAACTTCAACATGAAAGGTAGGGTGCAATGGAAGCTGCAACTATTTATAACATTTCATGGAAGAGATATTAACGGGTGGACTTTGAGTTGATGTCAAAGGAACCTCTCTTCTTTTTACGACCCCGTTTCTTTTGTTAATTCGGTAAGTGGGAGAAGTGAGAGCAGCAACAAACATCGAAGAGTTCAAAAGTCTCAAAGGTTTAAAAGTCTCGAAAGGTCGAAAAGTCTCGAAAAGTCGAAAAGTAGCTGTGTGGTGTCTTTTGCCTTTTTGACATTTTGACTGTTTGCCTTTTGTCTGATGTCTTGCAAATAGATCGTCGCTAAGGGATTTAGCGAGCTTAGCCAAGCTCTTCCCCAAGCTTCTTGGTTTTGGATGAATCCAACCATTGGGTCAGTCTATTCCGTTCATCATGACCGATGGATACCAAACGAATAGGTCAACCCATGTCCATACCCCTGACTCCTCAGCAAATGGCCTTTTTTGATGGGACGCGATGGGTTTGGACCCGTAGCCTATTGAAATAAAATGGAAGTGTCACAACCGTTTTCGTTTTCGGAATGGTCGAGAAGTGTTCGGTCACAGTGGTCGGTATCTACCACCTCATGAAGAACCCGAGGTCACCGGAGCGGGTTCTTCTGAAAGTGCGAGCTCAACCCTTGCGGGTCGACCTGTATTCCGTAATTGGTCTTAAATCCTCTTTGCAAATGGCTGCAAGTTGCTGAAGTTCTTGAGGGAAGACCACAGACTTGCCCAGTGGAATCTCTTCGAATTTTTCAGCATCTGAACCTTATGAACCCTTTTCCATTCGCAGTCGCCCGACGAAAGAGACTGAAGCCAAGCCTCACCATGAGTAAAAAAGCGATCCTTTTGCGAGATGACAATGGCCCTTAGAGGAGACTCGGCGGTGAAAAAAACATTCAAAATAAGAAGAAAAAAAAACATCCACAAAAAAAGAGCATGCTGAGCTCTGAGCTTTCTCGCTTCTCATGAGGATTGTGGTCTTTCAAACTTGTTACAGTATGTTGGTTGGAAAGTGGAATGTGCCTCCAAAACTCCAGGAAAAACATCGGTTCAGGTGCAGGTGGGTGCATCCAAAACCGACACTCATGGGAAAAGGGATCCCGTCATCTTGCAGGGTCTTTCCAGAGCTTGAATTCATCTTCGCACCTCTATACAAGTACTAAAAGGCGCCACCAAAGAAGAACAGTTCTGAGAAACTGAGAACATTCTGAGAAGAGAACATTCTGAGAACATTCTGAGAACATAAAACGATAAAGAAGCTGAGAACATTCTGAGAACATTCTGCACTGATTAATTTACAGTGTAGTAGGAAAGAGATGCATCATATCATCCAAACAAAGACCTGCCAGCGGCAACACAAAAGAATGCCAGCTGGCCAAAAGTGAACCCCGAAATTGGTAGGCAGAATTGAATCTCTTCTGATAAATCTACTTCTATCTCTTTAAGGAGCCTCCAAAGCAAAAAGAAAAACTTCTGACACCTGTTTTCGACCCTCAGCACCCCGGCTGGCAGTCGAGGGAATCGATGAATCTGGCCAAAGCCTGCCAGTGGTCGCCGGACTCCGGTCTTCCGGTCGTTGGGACCTGCAGGGGATGAGCTAATTCGAAGTTCTGACAGCAGGTTGATCGGTTATCTCGCTCTCTGTGTATACATAATTCTTCTCCAAAGATGAGCATGTAGATGCATTCCCTGGCGACTTTGACCCAAGGTTTGTAAAGTCCGCTGGGAAGGTTCTCCCACAGAGTGCCGTTGTCGGTGCCACTCCATACATTGAGGACGAAGTCCTCTTTTCTTTGGCTAAAGCCTTGAACGCAGGCGCCGGACGCACCATTGAGTCCTGGCGTGTCCCTTTTTGCTTCTAGTTGTATAGTCCTCTTTCTCTTTTGTGCAGGGGGTTTCTTTGTATGACTGGTCCAGAGTGACCGGCATACCGCTGACGCTTTCATATACGGTGTATATATATATATATATGTACATATTACAAATATACATGTATATATATATATATAGCCCACACATTCAAAAATATGATCATTGATTTCACGATGCTTTAGGCTCTAGGCTTTAAGGTATCTTTTGGGGGACAGCCACGTGGCAGTGATCAAACCTCATGGTTCTGGTGGCACCCAGTGGAATCGTCAATCGGCGGATTGACACTCCAGTGCCTGCACATTGGTGTGATCCAGGTGCGCATCAATCTCATCTAAGACCAAGAAGGGTGGCCTGAAGCAACAAAACTGTCTCGTCTCAAATCTTCAACGCTCGTTCGTTCGCTCGTCCGTCAGTTCTGTACTTTTCTTACTTTCTTTCTGTCTTTCTGCCTTCCTCTCTCTCTCGAGCCCAATGGTTGTTGATGGAAATCTTATTCACCTCTTTCAATCTTGAATATCACTTCTCCCGCTTCCAAGTGCAAGCCTCTGAACACCAAAAACACTCAAGCCTCTGGTACGCTTGGATAGCAAAGAGCAAGGCCATAGCGGCTACGGTCTTTTCGCCACCTTCCATATGAAAGCTAAGCATAGGGGCATGCTTCTGCAGGTATAACTATCTCCGACTTCAACGTGAGCTTTGCAAAATTATTGTCTCCTGCGCGCACACACACACAAGATGAAGGCCAGAATCTACTTACAAATGAATGCAAGCCAAGATCTGGAAGTGCCAGAAGGGCCAGTCTCATCTTGCGCCTCTAAAACCCAAATGAAGAAACAAGTCTTAGAGTTTCTCTGTCTTGCAGCCCTTTCAGGCCTGAAAGCAAAGCCATGTCACAAAAGCGCTTCGAGGGTGGCATGGCTGTAAACTGGCAACAGCAACAGTGCGCGGTCAGATGGAAACTCCATGCAAATCACAATGTGTCAGGGAAAGACAAGTACAGCAAGAAAACCAACATCATGGAGAGCTTCTCTTGAATCAACTTCGCTATTAAGCCCATTAGGCAATCAGCAAGGTCTGTGGTCTGCGGCTTCACAAAGGGCTGGGAAGGAGCTTGTTCTTGTAACGCTTCAATGAAGAGCTTACACAACCGCAAATTGCTCCGTTTCTTTCAAAACTTAGGCCCCCCCCGGCTGACACTTTGTAGCTGTAGCTGTGGTTCCACCGCTCCTGCCTTGATGCCACCATTCCAAGGGTCCTGCAATGAGCAACAATCTCGGAGCTGCCAGCCATTTCCAACAAAAGACGGGTGCGGCAATCATCGTGAGGCAGATTTGGACGTTGGAAAGGTAGTGGGTGAAGACCAGCTGAGCCTTGCTGAAGCAGTCTTTGGGTGCTCTTCCCTTATGCGTTCAATTGCGAATCTCGGGATTATTAAATTGGGTGTTCTGTGAATCTGCGAAGCACAAAGCCAAGAACACCACTGCTCGAAGGTGTCTAAGATGTCAGATCTCTGCTTTGGCGGAGGACGGCCAAAATATCCTTCCAACGAGTCAAAAAGCGGTTCTCCTCTAGGTCTTCCAGGTCCAAGAATGCAGAGCCCCCTTCAAAGCCTCCCAAGCATGAAAAGGCTCGTTCAAAAGCGCATTGCAGATCGGGAAAGGCCGCAAGTCTTCCAAGTTCAGTCTTCCAAGCTTCATCGGAGCGGCCAAAGTCCCTTTCAGCTGAGGAGCGGTTTGTTTAGTTCTTTGAAGCTTTCTATGTGCAGGATAGATCTGAGGACAGGAGAAAACACAGCTGCACGCAAGGTGCGACGGCCTGCAGCGGCGCTTTTGGTGAGCCTGGCGAGAGGCGTGGGGCGAGAGGCGTGGGGCGTTCGTTTCTTGCGCCGTGGATCGTTCGTGTTCGAGTCCTTCCTGGAAGGGTCACCTAGCTGGAAGAAAAGATTGTCAATGAGGACCTGTAGATGGTTGTGTGCCTTAGTTCTTGTCAGTCGGCACAATGGCCTAAATCCCCAGCAGTTGCAGTTTTGGATTGAGGTTTCTCGCAGTATATACCGTAGCTTGCAAGGCTATGTAATGCTATGTACCTCTTGCCAGTAGCTTGCATCTGATGGCTCACATAGAACACCAAAACCCGCACCCGCGTTTGGTCACCCCCAGCATCTCTTGCATGTCTCGTAGTGGTGGCAAGACCTAAGAAAAACTTACAACCCCCCAAGTCAGACCTTTTAAGGGGGGATCGTTGGCTCAAACCTCCCGCCGAATCGCGCCACTTCTTTGTGTGCAACTCGCTTCATGTCTTTCGGACACAAGTGACCCCCAGGCTTGGCGGAAGAAATGAAGGTCGAAATGAGTGAACTTCGTGCAGGAAGTGGCGAATGGGTTCCAAATCACCTGGCGACAAGCCCTCTGAAGCCCACAGTTTCACTATGAGTCTTGCTGGGTCTTTGGAGGAGTTAGCATCTCCAATGCTTCCAAATGCACGCGGTGCACATGGCAAGGAAATCCTATAGCCAGAAACCAGTGAAATCCTGATTCGGAGCCCAAAGGAAGACCCATTTCCCAACGTGAGCAATCCTGTGACCAAGTCCGTCGACATGTAGAATGTATACTGACGATCAATAAACAAACATTTTTTGATGAGAATACTGATGCGTCATGTTGTTTTGTGGTTTTATGATGCAGCCTTGATTGGCTTGGCAATTAATTGTTTGGTTTCTCGCAAGCACTGAAAGGCCCTAAAACGGACTCCTATTTAACAAAAATGGGATGCTCTTGAGATTTCTTGAGCACTGTTTTAAGAACCGAGGATCAAGCCGATCCCAGCTAGTGCACGGCCGTGTCTTCCAGGCAATCACGTCGGTTCATCTGTATCCAGACATGAATCTCATGTTGCTTCGGGAAAGTGGTCATGGCTCCCAAAGATCGCCGAACAGCTGGCTTGGCCAAAAGGTCCAGTGTCTTGAGCGAGAAAGGTCCGGACTTCTTCTGGGTCCACAGGGGTCCGAAGGTCCAAAACTCCTGAATCTGCAACAACGGTCTACTCAGAGCATGTTCTGGTACCCAGAAATACCAAAAAAACGGTCTACTCAGCACTGAGTTCTGCGAGCAGGGGGCGGTTTCTACGCTCTATCCACTCATAGGGCTGGATAGAGGGAAAATGAGGAGCGAGTTGTTACCCGGCGAAAGGAACTAAGGGCCGATTGCCATTGTGGCAAAAAAAAGACCGTAGATGCTTCAGAAATTGGAGTCTGCCTCTTGTTGGCAGTATAAGACAGTACCTGCGCGAAGCATGGTATGGATGCAAACAAGCCAAGCAGCTTGAGTCGGTTTGGCTGGGATGCTTGGAAAGCCAGAACCTGAGCCTTAACATTCTGAGAGCTCTTGAAATGAAAAGGTCAGAGCACGGTCAGAAACAAGGAACTGCATGCGGAGGTGGGAATTACAGTAGCTGCGCCGGCCTACCCACCAAAGCCCTACCCCCAGAGGCCAATCGAGCACGACACGGTGGAGTCTGCCGGCCTCTGATTTCCATCAGCCGAGTCTTCAGCTGCGACACGGACAGGGGGCCGTTGGGCTCCAGCAAGGACGAAGGGAAGGTCACCTCTTTGGAGAATTCCTCGCAGCCTCACCGCAGTCACCGGAAAACCAGAGACCAAGTCAATGTGACCCCTGGCACCTGTCAAATCGAAGGCAAGCCAAGGGTTCGCCACATTGGCACAAATGAATTTGCTTCCAAATCCACTCGTGGACGCCAAAACAAGCCGCCAACTCCAACTCGTGAGAACCATGAACCAATGCCATGGGCCTCTAAGTCATGGCACCAGGATCAATACATCTGACAGACCTCCGACCGGTGGGGACCTCTCTGGTGTACCTCCGACCGTGGCGGCACCGTGGCTCGGGGCGACCCCAAGACGAGAACGGTCCAAAGCACTGAGCTTCATCTCCGCCAAGCTGAAGCTACGCTCGGGCGATCGAGGCGTGGCACCTGGATGGAGCGGGAGCGGAGGGCGGAGGACGGAGGCCCGGCTGGGGGAGCGTGGAGCGACACCATGCACCGAAGGGTCACAACGTGGAGCTCCCCCACCCTCGTTCTCGGGAGTCTCTTGTACGAAGGGTCAACGAGAAAGAAAAAGAACATGAAACTGAAGGCTTCGCCGAACTGCTGGCGAAGGTCTACCCTTGTGCCGAACTGCCGGCGAAGGCGAAACCGAAACCAAACACATCCGCAAACCATGTATGATGTAGATTTGAACATAGAGAAATACTGTAGGTATCCGTTGGTGTTTGTTTGTATTGTAACGTGTGTTCTTCCAACACTCAGACACTCTCTCCTTGTTCAAAAACGGTGTCCAAATATTTTCGGGCCAGCCACAGCGGGAGTTGGCCGTCAGCGGCGTGATGGGTGGCAAGAGCCCGGCACCACTCTTTGGACGTTCTGCCCACGAATCCGCCATCGTATTGCCTTAGATGTGGCACTCACCAGTCCGTGGTGCTTCGTCACTGGCTGCTCGAACGTCAGACACGAACTCTGGGACCTGAAAAGCACCGGGTCCGCACTGGGTCCTCTTTCCAACCAAACTCCAAACCAGCGTGGCCCCATGCTTGGAACATGTTGGGCAAGTCTGCGGATCGTCCAAACACGCCACGGCACGAAATCGGTTGCTCTTTTCCACGAGCTGCTCGTGATCCTCCTGGAAGGTCACATTGCTTGTCCAGATTTTGCGATTGTACCGAAACACACCCGTGATACTCGTGTTTTCCACATACACATTTACTTCCTGAAAGCCACCAGACAATCCTCCAAGGAACTTCACTCGACTCATTCGACCCCTTCTTGCCGCGCGTGCACACGCGTGCGAGCTCGATACGGCGCGCGAACGCTGCTCCCACCTGCAAACGCTCAAAGCTACCCAGCAGAGATTCATAGTCGATTCCTTGAGACGGTCGCCCGAAGAGTCGGAAGTGGGGGACCCTCGGAGGGGGGTGGAACCCTGTACTCAAAACTGTTCCTCCATCAGCAAATTTAAAGGAACACATCCTTGTACACACACACACACACCATTGAAAAAAAAAGAATGGCCTGCAGCACGCATCAAACTCATTCTTTATCATTCTTCAGACTCTCCGACCAAGCTTCTCAACTGTTCCATGTTCTCGGATTTCTCCTGCAGGGCATGGGATGAAGGCACGGGCGTAAGTCCATTGGTCACATGGTCCGGCGTCAGTCCGGGCGCTTTAAGCTCCGCAGGCCGGCTAAATGTCACTGGTCCTGCTGCTGTTGCAACTCGTTAAAGAGTTTCAGCTTCTCCTGGCTGACATTGTTCCGTGAAGAAAGTGCAAATCGATCGATCAGTGTAACAAAGGATTGAAGTCCTCATGGACTCACGGCGGAAAGATCCCACAGTGATGTGCGAAATCCCCATAAAAAGAAAGAAAGTGTTGACTAGGGAAGCCTCAAAGTTCGACCTGCAAAAAAGGAAAATAGACCAGTCTACCCAGCCAGGGCCAGGGGGTCTCCCTATTAAAATACACACCCTGATGTGTTTCCCTTCCAGACCTGCTTGCACTCTTGGAGTTGTCGAGACATCTCATGCGAACTGGAGCGAAGCTGTTGGAGCTCCTGCAGCCGGCAGCTAACAAAGAGAAATGGACTCGAGGATATAACTCGGGGCGTCGGAGTCGGAGGATGCCAAGAGTGGCCAAGAGTGGCGTTGGAGATATTGAATTCGATGCAATGAATTCGATGAGACCGAAGGCGATTCCGAAGGCGACTCCGATCATCACTTGGGGTGTTCCGAATGATCTGTCTCACGTGCGAAGGACCGTCGCTCCTGCCCCACTCTCGCATGCTTCTCTCGAAGGACTCCTCAGCTTTCGGTTATCAAGTCCTTTTCTCAGTCGGGCATCACTCATGGATGATGCTCCCCGCAGTTTTACAGTCAAGCTGGAGTTGCGAGAGTTTGTCCAGGGAGTCCAGAAGACATTCTTTCAGTTCGGCGTGTCCTGAAACTTGCCCTGAACTTACGAACTCTTCGGTGCTTGGTCATGGTCTTTTTTTGTGAAACGTTGCTTTCTGCTGAGTGGCTGAGCTGTGTGCTGAGCTCCTTCTCCACTTTCTCGGCCTCACCCCTCAGGGTCTCATGCTGTTCCAAGAGTTCTCGATGCGTGGTTTGGAGATCAAGATGCTCCACGCGCATCTTGTTCAGCTTCTGCTGGATCGCCTCAGCTCTCCGGCTAAAACCTCTCTTCAATGCCCCAAGGGGTATGGGGGTGGCATCGCGGCATCGCAACAAGGAGTCCAATTTCTTACCAACGCCACGAGCTGTCAAGGTATCGTTCGAACGACGAAAGTGTTGGAAGAAAAACGACGGGTCGAACAAATCGTTCGACCTGGTTGTGAATGAAAGCGACCAATGAAGCCACTTTGGCGGCCCCAACTTCCCCAACTTTAGAAAGTCCCGGGATCCGTTGGAAAGCACCAGCCATCAGCCATCTTCTCTTTTGGGACTCTAGTAGTGAACTGCGCACCACGAAAAGCCCAGCCGTTCCCTCGATTGATCCCTGGCCTGGTACTGCTCCTGCATTCGACGCAACTGCTCCTGCAGACCAAGCTGAAGAGGCCCTCGCCTCCCTTCATGAGTTGTTCTAAGCAAACCATGAGTCGTCTAGAACGTTTGCGCTTATAAACTTTATATCTTTGGAGCAGGTCTGCTGATGTGCTTGTGCTTGATGCAGCCGTCACAGAAGCTATTCACGCAGATTGCTCGGTTGGAGCTGCAGTCGCTTTGTTTAGGTGTTGTTAGCATCTATTCTATGCAAAGATGGTCTTTGCGGAATGCTGCTGGATTCCGTGCAGGAAAAGGATCCATATGCAGGTCTTCCTTTGTACATTCAGAAAATCACCGTGCTCCTTCTGAGGTCCACGTGTTCCGTTTGGTGGAGCTCTTGCGGCGACAAGTTACTGAAACAACTTGAAAAAATGTTTGCAACAACCAGCCAATCAACCAGCCGATCGACCACACGTGGAAACGTCCTCCAACAAGGCAGACTTGTTGTCTTCCTGCTTGATGATCACGGGCGGCCTGTCTTGCAGCTTCTGATGCTCCTCTGACAACACCACGTAGTCCTGTCAAAGGCGAACATCAAAGCAAAGCCTCTCTTAATGTTTCAAGGGGCTGGGAGTATCCCTTGAAGATTCTCCATACGACGAAGCCAACGTTTGCTTTTGAGCCAGGGCATTGTACCACCCGCGCAAACGAATCTGTTCGGTACGCAGCGTACGCACCTTTGAGAGAGATGCGCATGCGACAAAAAAGGCTATCGAAAATGAAGACGTGGCTCGTGACCTTTACGATTGAATGTGCATTCAACATGTAGCTTCTATGGCGCCTTGGCTAAAAATTTCTGGAAAACACGAAAAGGCGTCAACAGGCTGACAGCAACCCTTCTCCACCAGAAACCGCGAGCATGCCCTTTTGCTGCTGGGCGTCATCTTGGAGCTGCTTGTACTCCGTTTCCAGCGCCGCGATACGTTCTAAATCATCTGAGCTTGCAGATTGTCCAAAGACCGAGCGCTCCAACGCTGCGATTCCTCGGATTCGTCAATGGAGCGTCCTTCCAGTTTCACGAAGTCCTGTAGGGTTCGAGTTCAGAAACAAGCCGCTTATGTCAGAAACACCTGATATCGCGCCGGATTGTCTCTGCGCAATTGCATCCCACGAAAAAGTCTTACAGCTTCTCTTGAGAACAGTCCGCATCTCTTGAGAACCGCTGGACACTCCACTATAAAGTCTCAGTCGCATGCCACAAAGACCAACCATCCACCGACAAGCCCCGCTTTCGCGCGCCACGTTCTCCGGGGCTCTGTTGGGCAAGGTCACGTTCTCTGTATGGCTCGCACCACCTGCGATCTTCTCCATCTCAGAGACCTGCGATCGAGGATGCTGAGCAAGAAAACGAAGACGGGCAAACGAAGGAAAGCAAGTATGATTGGGATTGATTGGGTAAATATGAATGATTGGGGGTGTGTACAGTACTTAAATGGAGGGGACCCTCTGGCCCAGTGGATGTTGGTCTATTTTCCTTATCCAGACGGAACATTTCATCTGCGTTCCCTCTCTCTCTCTCTCTCAGCTCGAAGGCATCTCAGCTCCCAGCTGCAGCCCCCCCAAAAAAAAAATCCCACCGTAGCAAGGGCCATGCTCCATACTTTCGCACGGAGCTTTTCTTTAAGCTTCTCATTCTCGGCCTTCAGCTCCTCCTGAAGAAAGGGTGAAAAGAAAAGGTAAGGGAAATGCCTTGTCGATTCGGAAAACTCTATGCCACGATGTGATTCTTTTCCTTTGATCTGTTGAAGTAGCCATTTGGGCGAACTGGAGGGCCACCATGTCCGTTTCTTTGCCACAAAATTCTCCCTGATGTGGTAGTTCGTGGGCTTTGAAAGGGGCTCACGGAACTGACGCTTGATCTGGTTCCAGATGTTTCAATCTTTGTGTTCCAACCGGCCGGACACTTCAAAGACCAAAACGATCACCTCGTTGCCTGATCACCTCGTCGCCCTTTCTCTGCCGAGGATCCAAGTCGTCGCCCATTTGATGTGATTCCGGAGCCACGGATACTCCGAACTCGAAAAGCACAGCACTGCGGCGACAAGCAAACATGAGCAGCACAGCACAACCGGTGTGGACGTCGCAAGACTCACAACGAAAACATCACCTGAAATAAAATATCCTGAAAGAGGGGTCTTGGTTTCGACTGCCATCTTCTGAGCCAACGCACTCACTCGGCTCGCCTGCGGTAGACCTCCTGAATCTCCTCCTGGACCTGCTGGCCCAACGTCGTTTTGTCTGTTTGCAATCTCGTAGAATATGCAAAGTGCCAAGGTCGCCGACATTGACCCAGTATGTCTACGTTTTTCGAAAAGCAGATCGACGGAGCTCCCTGATCTACTTTTGCTGTTTAATTGCAAAGAGTCAGGTCATATCAGGTCAGCCTTTTCATTCTCTTGAGGGCCTCCCTCAATCCTCCATGAGTGTACTGTTCAAAACCTCCCTCAAAGGGTCTCACCCGGGCTCCGAAACCGAGCGGTCGGTTAACTCCGAGCATCCTCACGGACTCCGAGTCCACCAGGACGACCGGTCTTTCTCCCGTCCTTGGGACGAGGTTTTTGGGACGACCTGCGGTCCCGCATGCCCCCCCCCCCACGACCAGTCCACCGGTCTCGCCTTGTGAAAGCACTCCATAAACGTCTCCCGTCTTTGGCATCGCACCTCCTCAAAGCTCCGCTCCACGGCCTCGACGGAGACGACAGACGACGGAGACGCGCGGTGGTCACTCCGGCGAAGGAGAAGCGGTCCATGTCCAGCCAAATATGGCAAAATGTTTGGAGATGTTGGGAGTAATTTTGGAATAATGCTGAACTCTACTTTCTCTGGACACCAGTTGCTCATGAATGCTCTGGTTTCCAAATAGGAAAAGCTCGATCGTAGAATGAGAACCCATACGCGTCATTTGAAAGCCCTTGGGCTGCTAGGCCTCCATTTTCTTTCGGGCACGTTGCGCCTGCGGACGGCAGACCAAAGGTCAAAGCCCTTGCTAAGCTTCCTCTGAAATGCCAGGAGCTCAACCCCTCCCACCCCCTGCAAAAACTCTTGAAAAGCAAAAAGACCCCCCCCAAAAAAAAAAAGAAAAAAAAACATATATATATATATATATATATATATATGAAGCACCATTCACTCACAGAGCCGATCACAAATCAGTAAAGAAGGAAGCCGCACCTCACGCTCTGCAACCATGGCCTCTTGATCAGCCTGTTCCAGCTGGTCAAATGCCTTGCCAAATGAAGTTGGCAAGGTGGATCAAGAAAGACGTCTCCATGATTCATGTATTTTTCTATTCATGTCATGTCTACAGCCAGAACGTTCCAAGTCCAGTCCGAGAAGAACTCTCTTCACCACAAAAGAAATAGCAGTAGCATCTCCTTCTCAACAGCCATGTACCAAAAGAACGCTTTCAACTCGCTCCAAAGATCTCCGATGGCTTCCTTGAGGTTGGGCTGCAGCTGCTCAAGCTCACCTCCCAAGCCTCAGCCGGTGCCATTCCAGTGCGCCAGTGCCCCCCTTTCTTCAGCCGTAAGACTCTTCTGTCGACCAGAAAAAAAATAAAGACTCCCTTCACCGAATTTCACCCACGCGCCGAATGGCACCCTCACAGCGGTGCGCCGAAACCGCACCGCACCCCGACGGCGTCTCGGCGGCCCCGGGCGTCGAAGTTCACTTCGATACTCATCCTCCAACAACTGGCTCGCGGGGCCTGGACGAGCTCGCTCGGCAAAGCATGAAACAGAGCGGAACAGTTTGAGACGGACCAAGGAGTGCTGAGCTTTGTGAAACACATGGTTTGGCATGCAGCTGCTTTAAAGAGTGACAGTTTAAGCACTTAAGTCTCTGAATTCATTCTCAAAACACTTAGAGTTTCTGAATTCTGAATCCACCTTCGAGGCAACATGTAGGTACCTGTGTCATTTTTTCTCTGCTCCCAAAATTATCCCGCCTCCTGTGGCAGCTGCACGACGCTCCTGCAAGCGCCAGGCACAAGAATGAGACACCCACGCCACCCGCTCCAGTCACTTCGACGCCTCTCCACGACTGAGCCGTGCGTATCTAGACCTCTGAGCGGTGCTGAACCTATCTGAACCTGCTCTCCTCTGGCAACTGCTGAAAGTCCAACTGCACGTCTAGACTGAGCTCGTTGGTCGTGGGCCTCGGGGATTCAGTCGGTCGTCCGAGTCCCACGGGGATTTATGTTGCTGGTGAATGGCTGCGAGCGTCAGGGGAACTGACTCGAACTGAACTGGAAGAAATGACTTGGGAACTTTCACTGTTGGAAAGCAGCTGTCTTGTGTCTCTTACTTCAGCCAGCTCTTGAGTTGCCGGTTTCCAAGAGCTTCGGTTCTGAGGATCTCACTCCCCCGCCACTTGGGCCTTGGTTGGCTAGGCGGGTGCTTCAACCGAAAGTGGATGTGCAGCTGAAAAAGTTCGTAAATGCTGAGCCTTGACAAGTCACAGCCTTGGATGGCTTGCCCCCTCGGCTTGACGCCGATGGCTCATTGGTTCTTGGATGCTACCGTAGAGGTGCACCACAGTGAAACGTCTTTCACCAAGACGCCACTCTGCGCAAGGCAGCTTTGCTGTCCTTCTTGGAGCCCAAGAAGGGAAGGTCGATCTCCTTGCCGAAGGTTCTTCGGTTTTTCATCATCTGGGAGTGGACTCTGTCTGTCAGCTGCGCCTCTAACACACTTTGGCAAAGGAGCTGCAACCGCGCCTGACAAGGGCATACAAGTGCTCACACAGTAGACCGCCGTATAGACCCGCAGTGCCTACGGAATCTACTTCGCTACTTCCGTTGCTTCACAAGATCGACGAAGCAGGACAAGAATCATCTTTGTTGTTAGTCTAAGTTGGTTTATTAATACAACATATAACATATTTATATATATAATACATATATATATATAATTATATATATACTCCTCTGCTCCAGCAAGATGTACCTCCTTTCCGCGCCTCTCGCACCTCCTTCAGCTCTGCACCCAGCGTCGCAAGGCGCCGCTCGCCCTGCAAAACCAGCGGGGCGAGAATCTTTCCCATTCTGGGCGACAAATGTCAGTGTAAGGTGATCCCAAAGGTTTCTACGACAATTCCGACAATTCCAAACTCCTTTGTGAAGCCAAACTCATTTGGGAACGAATTTGTAAACAAGAAGCAGTGCATCCGACTAGATTCCTTACCCCTTTCTGGATACCAGCATCAAATGGCTAAAAATGATTTCCTCAAGGCCTCAACTGTTCAAAACACATGTGCATGAAAAAGGCTTGCAGTTCTTGCTATTCTTGAGACAGAAAGAAAGAACATCAAACAGATCCGCCAATGCCATCCAACGGATCCAAAGAATCCCTCTTGGCACCAGCGGTCCACCGATCTCCGGTACGGAACGAAGGCTTCTTTGACGCCTCCGATGCCCTGCGCTGCTTCTCCTTCAGCTCGCGGCGGGCAGCGGACACCGCCTGTTTCCGGAAAAAGGGAGCTTCGTGCGAAGGAGGGAATCTCTGATGGGTGATCATTCTCCAATTAAACTATAACATACGGATGATAGGAGGGCACTTCAAAGCAAGCAACCAGCTTTAGGGTTCTGTGACCTTACCCGGTAAGCTCCTCCAGTGCTTTCTGCTTTTGCCCGAAACCGACCGCGACACCTGCCTTCTGACGCCTTCGGCATGATAACAACTGCTGCAAGTAGCATGCAGCAGCATGCAGTCATGCTCACCACTTCTAGATCGCAGCCTCTCGTTAATCCCTTGCGAGCGTCCTTTGCCACTCTGATGCAATTACAGCAATCCAATGGACCAAAACGGTAGCACTGAAAATAGTGCTCCCATCGTCACTTTCAGGTTTGCCAAAAAACAACAAAAGACTTCACAAAGTAAGCAGGTTGGACATGTGGGTGAGCTGAATCCAACCTGCTCCTGAGCTTTCAGGACCTCCTCTTGCTGCTGCAAGGCCTCCAGGAGCGGCGGAAAACTACGGACACTCAAAACCCCTCCACCCCTCAGATCTCCGTCAAACCTGCATCGGAATCTGTCTCGCTTTTGTTTCATAGAAACTGTTTGGCGCGCTCCAGGAACAGTAACGTTCAGGCTTTCCAACCTCGGCTTCTGCATCCACCCGCTGCACGCAAGCCTAGATGGATCCGTCACGGGGGACGGCCTTGAGTTTCTTCTACTTTGGCGTTTGCGTAGGACGTCGTAAGTTGAAAGGATTGGCCTTTTCAGGAGCCCTAAACAAAGTTGACTACCTTGAATCATGAGTTGAAAAGGTCCCACCTACTCTGTAACTCGATCGGAGGAGCAGAGTTTAGCCAGCCAGTCCATCCAAGCAATGACTTATCGGGGAGTAGCAACGCCATACAACAACTCAGTAGGCCAGGTGATCTTCAATGCTGGAGCACCAGACAATCTGCACCACAAAATATCCCGATATGTGCGCCCCGACCGTCATTTTCTGGTCCAGCTCTTGATGGCGCTCTTTGAGCTTTTCCACTGCAGCCTACAACAGCCACATGTTCGGCCCACTCACATGAACCTTCATTGAAAGCACAAATGCTGGCAGAACCTTGGCAGTTTTCTTTCACCTATAGTTGTCATTTAGGGTGTGGTTCCAAGCGAGGTGGGCACCAATCTCGACCAAGCAGAACAGACAGTTTACATGGTCTCCGACTAGCCAAAACAATGAAGAGCGGCTATGTGGGTGCTATATGTGTTACTAGACTACAAACAATAATGGATCTGATGATCATGCACTTAATGTCCAGCCGGAATGACCACTCCAAGCACCAGCCTTGTCTTCGCCCACATTGCGGCTGCGCCTCTCCTTGTGGCCAGCCATATTGCTCCACGGAAGTTAGAAAGCGAAAGAAAGGTCAGCTGGCAACAGAAATTGGATACTTTTGGGAATACCGCCAAACGTAGGAACAACAAATTGGATTTCTGTTGTACAGTAGTTACTCAGTAGTTGAAGCAAACTCATGCTCGCTTCCACCTGGAGGGTCTGTTCCACCATGGCCAGTTCTGCCTCGCAAGCTGGCGAGAGGCGCAAGTGACGGCCTTCCATCATCTTCAAAAAAAGAACGGGCAAGAAAAGAAGGAGAGGAGACATCTACAAGTGGATGGAGAGAATCATCTACAGTACATCCATTGGAATCATTGGAATCTCCCTGGTTTTGGAGGCTTATAAACGAATCCGGCTGCTTCTGCCGCCTTGAAGGCTGAGTGTTGCCGCAGAAGTGCCTCTTCCTCAAATTGAGAGGCCTGTAGTCACCCAGACATCGGTGCTTCGTCGATGAAAACAGCGCCATGCATCGTTCATCCATGAAAACCGTGTCACACCGAAAACAGCGCTTGGCAGCGACCTTCCATGCACAGCGACCACTGGGCAGCTGAAACTCCACTCATTTGTGACTTCGAAAGAGAAGCAGGCGAAAAGGAGACGAAGAAACGAACTGATCGCCCAGGCCTCACGCTTGAACCGCATGTCCCTCTCCAGAGATCGAACATCGGCGCCCAGCTGTGCATCAAGCTCCGCAAAAAGGCCACTCGTGACGGCGCCTGCCGGTCTGATTCCTTCAATGTCAGACCTACACGGTGTTTTCTTCAGATTTCAGCGGTGCAGCCGGGCTTTGGTCGTGGCAATATCCCGGAGATCTTACTTCCTGCATGTTCATCTTGGTGAGTCTTTCTTTCACACTCAACACCGCTTCTACGTCCATCCAAGAACTCTCTGTTTGAAACACAATTGTGGAGCGCGAAAAAGGAAGAACAGCAAAAGTGTAACTGCCTCCACTCTCAGGACTGACGCCTTTCGTGAAGCTTAGCCCATCTGCGCCTATCTGCTGCTCCAAATCCTTCAGCTCTTTCTTCAATTGCTCCATCTGCAGCATAAGGATGCTCTCTCTCTCTCTCTCTCGCTCTCTCGCTGATTTGGGAAACTACCCAGCCCATGTCTTTCGCTCCCTTCACACTCCACGCCGTGCCATGAATTGCACACAGGCAAATTGAGAGAGGGAGAGCCAGAGAGCCATCCACAAAGGTTGGCCATCTTCCTCGGTATCGACGGCTAAGTGGAACCCAAAAATGGCTCCGGATGGCTCCACATGGCTCCGGATCTCCATCGGATCTGACCCACGATTTTTGTTGCTTTCATAGGGACTCCGACCATGCGAATGCTCCGCACCTCCTGCGGATTCTCCGGGAATGCAGCTGCGGCTTGCTCTGCAGCCAGGAGCTCCTCGTTGATGAAAAAGTTAGAAGTCCAACCGCTGGTGATGTTCCAAGTATTGGCAGGTCAAGAGACACGCAACCGTGCGTAACTCTGATAAGAGTTTGCCAGACAAGATAGCATGGAGAGGTCTACAAGACAAAGGTGAGGTTTGCATGGCACTTGCCAGCCCAGCAGGAACCTCGTCTACTCCACAGCCACTTGAGTATATTCGCACCATTCCAGCAGTCACTTGAGTGACTCCAGTCACTTCAGCAGGGCAAAAATTCCACCATGTTCGCACTCCAGGCGAAATATGTGTTCTTTGCAACAAGGGATGCCTGTGGACCCGTCCCACTCGGCTCCCGCTCGGCGCTCCTCCCGCCGACCATCACCCCCTTTGCAGAGCAGCTCCCCGCTCCTGCTGACGTGCCTCCAGATCACTCTCCGTCCGTTTCACGTCCAGCCTCCGGCGGCACGGTGAGGCATTCGATGCAGCACGGTGAGGCGGCGGCGCCGGAGGCATTCGAAGACACGCGTTCAAACGCGTGGAACATCAAAACATTGACTGCGGATGATGACTTTGTGACTTTGCAATGCATTTGTTTGCCAATATATCGGTGGATGCTGTTGAGAACCCCAGACCATTGTTGGATGGTGATTACAAATTCGCTTTGCCTCGATCCATTCATATGAACTAGCAGAACTGTGTTTTCATCCTTGTGCCAACGCATCATAGCGCCTGCAAAGCGTGTCCCTATAACCGCGTTCACGCCGATACACCGATACACATAGCAAACTGCACCGATACACCGATACACCAAGGGTTTTGGGTTTAGGGTATCGACTGACATATCGTCCTAGTCGCGTAGAGCGCAATGTGTCCAACACCAAGCAGATTCACGGCGTACTGGCGTAATCACACTGTCAGGGCACAGTTTGCAAGCACTATATCAGAACTGTGCATGCTCACACAGTAGAGACCTCTTCATACGATTCCGACACCCAACAGACCGTACCAGTGACCCACATCGTGCGCTCCAGCTGAGCATCCCCAACTCGGTATCACGTACGGCCAGCTCCGCACTCTTGGCAGCATCCTGACGGCGCAAGTCGGCACAAGGCAGGGAGCTTCCTACACTCATGGGGGTGTATTTTAATAGGAAACCACCCCCACTAATAAGTTGCGGTCTAGTTTCTTTCTTCCAGGGGTCTTTCCGGGGGTCTCCCTGTTCCCATACACACTCATGCATGTAGCAAATCGATGATCAGCAGCACCTTCCATAATCAGCATACTCCCAAAAAAGAAACAAACAAAAGGCCCAGGCACCCAGCAAAGAAACGCCCTTTCGCAACCGCGGAAGGGCCCAGGCAGACCTGCAGCGCTGCATAGGCAGCATCCAAGGAGTGCTTGGAACGCAGCTCGATCAATTCACTGTCGATTGCCTGGACAAAAGCAACCAACATTGATCGCTTCGACAAAACGCTGGGTTGTGGGCGAGGGTCACCGTGATATCACTCTGTCAAGTACCCCTTCTAAAAACAACAACTGTTCGAACCAGACGATTCTTCAAGAAACTGAAACCTCTCTGCTAACCTCCGACCTCTGACCGCGAACGCTTTGCGCTCCCTCTCGTGACCAAAACCCACAACCATGCGAAACCGCTGGATCTCCTCGCGCGGTCGCGTATACATCAGACCGAGCGCGGTCGCGCCTCCAGGCGCCCCTTGGTCGCTTCCAGCTCCGAGAAATCAAAGCGCGTGGCGCCCTTCTTGGCCGCGTCGGAGCTGACCTACGCCGCACGCAGCCAACGGCGGGAGGAGGGGTGCAGGGTAGGCAGGGGCGGGGTCGTGGCCGAGGGTCGAGTTCGAGAAGATGGAGTGTTCCCGTCCAAATCTCAATGTTCCATCCAACTCCCTCACCACCAGGTGAGTGCATGTTTGAGGCCCTGGATCTCCTTGGCGCGCGCGCGAAGAAAACCGAAATTCATGCATGCTTTGGTCCACCCCTGGATCTCCTTTGGTGCCCACACAGCCAGATTGCCATCCCTGGAGATGGTCTCACCGTTCAAGGTGACCACCCTGCGTGGCACGAGGTCGAGTCCGACCGAGTAAGAAAAGAGGAGAACCTCCAGTGTTCCTCCATCCGCCCTTCCAGCTGGGAGCTGGTGAAAAGGTGCAGCAAGTGGGAACACGCGAAGATTCTTGTGGCTCCGCAGTCTGAACACACGAAAGTTTGGTGGTTATGTGACAAGAAACTTGGATGATGCAGCTTATCTTCAAGAAGGAGAACGAAAAAACACCAAACGGT